CTGTTATCTATTTTAGGTATTATTGAGTATAAATATGTTGAATTTTCAAATGAGTTGAAAGAGGTAATAAATGTTATTTATATACTTCAAAACTAATATTATAAACTTTTTCTGTCATAAAAATAATATATTATTTTTATTTTAGGTATTAATTAAAGAAAAAAATGTTTTTTTGAAAACTTTGTTAAATTATGGAAATATATATGACTTGAATAATATATTTTCAATACCTACAATATATAATTATAATCCTAAATGTTTGTCATTGGTAAKTCATAAGTCATAAAATTAATTATGTGTTACTTATTACCATGGTTGTGCTAATCATTTTTGGTACCTACAGATAATTAATAATTATTACATTCTTCATTAATTATAGAAAATGGTATTAAAAAATTGATATATTATTAATAATCATTAATCGCATTATATATATTGTTTTAAATATAAATATTAGTTTATCAATAATTAAAGGTCAGTAAAAATATGAGTTATTTTAGGGCATGCATGACAATTTATCAGTCTAGGATATCTTATTAATTTATTATATTGTTATTATTTCAAAAAAAAAAAAATATATAGATAAAAATTGTGACTGTATTTTTCATATTTTTTGTTGCCATTGTGACATTATATTAGGAACCTTATATTAAATGTTGAAGCTTTTTAACCCAACAAATTAGATTTTATTGTCATTTATAAAAAAAAAAAAAAACTAAAAAGATTAAAAATTTCAAATGTCTATTTTATAAYTTAAAAAGTTTTGAAATATTTTTAAAATGTTATCATGAATAGAAAATGCCAGTATAAAATTTCATGTGTCTAGGGTAATTTTTTTTAGAGTTACACCATTATAAAAAATTGATTTTGTGTGAAAATTTCCGTTTTCCTTAATTTTTTTCGATTTTTCTCGGCGCAATTGAAAATGATTGAGAATTTCAAAATTTTACCTCCCCAATGCACCAATTAGATTAACTTTCCAACCGGAAAAAGCTACTGAAGTTGAAAATTGAGGCATTATTTTGACAACTTATYGTGTATACAGACACAACATTGTAAAATCAATACATTCATTGCTCCGCTCAGAATCTAAAATACAATAAACTAATGAGATATTAATTATGTATATAAATTTAACTTTGAGACAGTTGATGAACAGGAAAGC